AAAAAAAAAAAAAAAAAAAAAAAACAAAAACAAAAACAAAAACAAACAAACAAACAAATAGGGCGAAAACATAACCTCTTTGGCGGTGGTAACAGCAACCAACACCACCACCAACAACAACAACAACAACAACATAAACAAAGGAACAAACACAGAGGGCACAACCACCACCACCAACAATAACAATGGCACCAACACAGACGCCACTACCAGCATTACCACCACCAACAACAACAACGGTACCAACACAGACGCCACTAACCACCACCACCACCAACAACAACAACGGCAACAATCAGACGCCTCTACCACCAACTTCACCAACAACAGCAACAAAAACGGCAACAATACAGACGTCACTAACCACCACCACCACCACCAACAACAACAACTACAACAATACAGACGCCACTACCACCAACTCCACCAACAACGGCATCAACACAGGCGTCATCATTATCATCATCATCATTATTATCATCATCATCGCAATCATCATCATCATCATGTTGATGCCTCTCTTTTACTTTTTTTTTCCAAAATGAAAGCTATGAAATTACGTTTCGTTTGATTCGGCTGGTAGCGTGAGTTTCATGTCTAGAACACATGGACGATTATTTAAATGATCACTATTGTAATGGCCACTCAAAACATTTACTTAGAAAATCTTTGTACAAAGATTAACCTTGCTATTAATGGCTTTCTTGAAATATCTTAATGGTTTCAGGCTTAATCATCATGTAAGAGTTAAGGCGGCACGCCTTTATCCTCACAGCATTTTTTACTTCTGTGGTATTAATACGTGGCCTTCACATGAAGATGTGCTAAAATCCTGAACAAAGAACAAAACGAAAAATAGCATATAGGCCTAATTGTATATTATGTTTTAGTTTATGTTTCACATTATTAACATTTTAGCGATATATTATTAGTATTAGGCTCATATTGATTTTGTTATTATTCTGAATTGTTATACAGTATTGCTGTTAATAAATAATAT